GGCACAGTTAAAAAGTCAAATCACATCTTAGTTTTGTTATGGAAATAGTTTCACCTAGTGGAACCCCTGAAAGGGCCCACACTTTGAGGACCACTGCCTTCAAGCTCACCCAGGGTTTCTTTCTGAAGCTGCTGAAGGTCAGGGCTTCAGGAGAGCTAGTCACTTATAATTATGTTAGGATGTACTTAATCTCTCAGTCATGTCTGACTCTTTGTGACCCCATGGACTGTAACCCACCAGACTTCTGTCCATGGGATTCTCCAGGCAAGAATACTGGAGTGGCTTGCTATTCCCTTCTCCAGAAGATCTTCCCAATCCAGGGATTGAACCCAGGTCTCCTGCATTGCAGGCAGATTCTTTACCATCTGAGCCACCAGGGAAGCCCCTAATTATGTTAAGCCTTCAACTATTTCCACTTTTCAGTAATTTGCAGATGGACCTCCTTTAGCTTTAGCTGCTATAAGCTGTTTTTTCCCCCGATGTTGGCTGACTACTTTTGCAGTAACTGTGTTCTATAAGAGCTGCCCCTGTCAACTTTTTTTTTTTTTTTCGGTGTTGACGATCTGGTGATGTCCCTGTCCCTGTCAACTTCTGTTGGCCCTCCCTTCTCATTAGGTTGGAGTGTTGGCCTTTCTTTCTCAGTAGGGCTCTACAGAAGTTCCATACTCCAACTTTCTTTAGGGAGACAATTTGGAATTTATCTCTTAAGAGAAAATGTGTCTGATTCCTACACTCCTCATTCTGTTTGATTCCAGCCAAGTCACTTCTATCTTCTTACATAACTATTGGGCAACTAAAGTGATCTCATCAGAGATCTTGTGACTCTAGACTCTAAATTGTTTTTGATGTCCTGAGTTCCCCTGGTGACTGAGGGAAAGTCTCAGATGGAAGAGGAAAAGGAAACTGCAGATCCCAAGAGCCACACACTCCTGTAATATAGGAGAGTGATACAGTCAGTGTGTAATGAATAATTGCTTCTGTAGAAATAGATACCTTGTCCAAGTTGGTTTGGTTTGGCCTGGTCTCTGGAGACCTGGTGGTTTGAGACAACAGTCATAGATTTTCTAGTATAGGCTGCTCATTATTCACTCTCACTTAAGGAGGAAACTTGAGGTAAAACGCCCCATAAAGAGTGGAAGGCAGAATGAGATAGACAGCTTCTGAATGTTGTCTAAAGGTGGCAGGGCAGGATGTTGAGATTCCTGAGATTGGATGCTTTAGAAGAGAGGTTGGATCCAGGGAAGGCAGGCAGGGTGCTATTACAACAGACCTGCATTTAGTGAGGCAGGTGAGGGACTAGGAATTGGACAGAGCTAGCCATGCAAATAGAAAGAGATGTTTGAGGCCATTTTGTTTATCTTCAGAATGCTTTGCAGTTCTTTACTTTTCTTATCCCCTGGGGGGGGGGGGGCGGTTGGGGAACTGTTTTATTTTTAACAGCTTTGTGGAGGTATAACTGACCTAGAAAATATTCATTACCCTCGTCAATTATTTTTTAAACTTTATTCTAGGAACCCTTAACATCTCATGATGTTTTGTGGGGAGTAAACTTGGGCAGTGTTGCTGAGGAGGAGGCCAGACTAGGGCAAGTGATCTTCCAACTTCTAGTAACATAGCTGTGCATTTGTCTATTACAGATAGACATAAGATTTCCCTATCAAAACCATCAGGGGCTTATGAAGTATATTCATATGAAAAGAGAACAGTGGTAAAAGATAGCCTTTGCAAAACATTAAGTTAAAGGAATAAATACACAACAGATCTTCATGGGTGGGATGGGGCTTGAGTTGGGCCTGGAAAAGGTAAATGCTGGGCCACTTTCATCCAATGTTCCTGGCACTGAGGATTCATGCGGAGGGATGCGGAGCAGTGTGTGCAAGAGGTGAGGGGGACGGTTGTCTTTACCCAGCCCTGAGGTGGTGCGCAGTGGGGACCCATGGCTATGAGGGAAAGCAGGCTTGGCTACGGTACAGATGAGGACACAGTGGTGGGCTCTTGAGTGCTTCACCAGAAAGGGGTTCAGCATAGTGTTTCCAACCTGCCTTTTGTCTTCCACTTGAAGGTTAGGGATAAGTTTGGAAACAGGGCCTAGGTGTGTTTCATTTATATTTAAGAGGAAGCGTGGAGTCAGACAAACTGAAGTTTTAATCTGGCCACTCCTTGTTGGTTGTTTAATTATGGAGAAGTTACTTAGTTTTAATGAGTCTCAGATTCATCATCAGCAAATGGAGCATAGCGTTTTTGTGAGGATTAAATGAGCACAGTACCTGGTGTTTGCTAGGTGCCCAAACTAGCATTCATCAGTGCTAGTTCAGTTCAGTTGCTCAGTTGTGTCTTTGCGACCCCATGGACTGCAGCATGCCATCACCAACTCCCGGAGCTTACTCAAACTTATGTCCATCGAGTAGGTGATGCCATCCAGTCATCTCATCCTCTGTCGTCCCCTTCTTCTCCCACCTTCAGTCTTTCCCAGCATCAGGGTCTTTTTCCAGTGAGTCAGTTCTTTGCATCAGGTGGCCAAAGAACTGGAGTTTCAGCTTCAGCATCAGTCCTTCCAATGGATATTCAGGACTGATTTCCTTTAGGATGGGCTGGTTGGATCTCCTTGCTGTCCAAGAGACTCTCAAGAGTCTTCTCTTGGAGAAGTGCTAGTGTATTTCCCCTTTATTTACTGTATTTTTTTTTTTCCAGTTTGTCCAACCAACAGAATATTGAGCACTTAACTGTGGGTGAGACCTTGTACTGGGAACAACATGCTCTTTGGTCTTAGTCAGATGAGTAGTCCTTGTTAAAGTTCAGTGTCATGGAAACAGCAATGGCGGCTAGCACAGAAATGAGGCATCCTATTTGAACTAGGGAGTCCAGAAAGGCTACCTGGAGAAGGTGACACAGCCTTTGAGCTGTGTATTTTTAAGTTTGGTAGACAAGAAGGAAGGGGCTCTAGGGCACCCAGGAGCCCACCACTGTGTCCTCATCTGTACCGTAGCCAAGCCTGCTTTCCCTCATAGCCATGGGCCCCCACTGCACACCACCTCAGGGCTGGGTGAAGACAACTCTCCCCCTCACCCCCCGCACACACACTAGGGAGTGACACCTGTAGAGACCTGAAGGTCTGAGATGGCAGGAGGCACACGAGAAGCCACACATCAGGTGACATTCAGGGGGCGGCAGCCTGAGATCTCGTTTCCTTATCCCTTTCCACCATCACTTTGGTGAACCTGTTGTGCCGCATCCGTGGGGAGAGATATGGATTCCCAAAAGATGACTACATGAGTTGGAACGTGAACCTGTTGTGTGTACATGACACACACTCGGGTGTGTGGTCTTATAAAATCACCGGCAGGGTCTGACCCCTCCCTTTGTGCTTGTCTCCTGTGAGCGTGCAGAGTGTAGCTGTGCCCTGCACAGTATTTCCATAGTTTGGACTTGGTGGAGGTCCATTTTCTGTTACCTTAAGTTTGCGTTTACTGGCATCAAATCTGGTTGTAGCTGTGATGCTGTTTTTCACCCATTATCATTTTCAATAATGACAGTGGGTTTTTGGTACTCTTCTTGAGAAGGACTGCCACACAAGTCAGTCTTTTCAGGAAAAGAGGGTGACATCATGTGGTTTTTGCAGGCTTTTTGTTGGTGGAAAACAACAGCAGTTCCTATAGCTGTAGGCAGGAATGAGAATCTTCCTTGGCCATTGTTCTATTAAAATACATAGTCCTCTCCCCATTGTCATTTGTGTCTTAAATAAAACTTGAGCAAGAAAATTCTCTACTACTTCCTTCCCTTTAGCCACTGTGAAAATACTTGATTAAGATGCCAGCATTTCATTCAGAATTATCCCAGGTGAATGACTTCTTATAGAAGAGTCTGTGTTTCTCCCCTGATGCTGTCATAAAAGCAGGCTCCCCCTTCCCTGCAGGTGTAAAAAACTGCAGAATACTTTTGATTTAGAAATCAAATGACCATGCAAAACTGACTGTTTGGGACTCAGAACTACAGACTGGTTCAGAGGTTTTGCTTTAGAGGAAAGATTGAGGAAATGCAAGAGGCAGCCTCTCTCCCCAAGATGAGCCCAGACTGAAGCCTGGGATTTGGGATAAAGTTTCTCTCCTCTTCTTGCCTCTATATTCTACTCTTGGACCTCTTCTGTCCTAGTGTGGCTGCTGGAAATAAAATCACTTTAAGTAAAAAGAATGTTGATGTCTAATTCCATCTTGTTTCTTCTCTTTTCCACCAACACATTGGTTGGAATTTAAGCCTGTATAGTTGGCTAGACTCTTGAAGAGATGAAATTACTTTCTCGGCTACAGAACGCACCCCAGAGGTCAACAGGAGAAATCCCTGCTCTTGTCTGAACTCGTGTCACTTAGTCCATGGAAAGCAGACCACATCAGGGGCAGCTGGAGAATTGGTGAGGGAGCAGTACATGTAAAATCTGTTTCTCACTTGATCTTTGAGCATTCAGAATTGGTTAATGAGAGGAAGGTGTTGGCTGGCTTCTCTGCCACACTCCGGTTTGCCTTATTCCTAGGCACACGGGTGTCAGGTGATGGAAGGAAGCCACTCGTGTAAACTTGTGGACGATGAGGCAGAAAAGTGTGAATTTTCTTTGGGGAAAGAGGAAAGAGCTCTCTGAGTGAGAGAATGGGAGCATGTGAACAGATTTCACCCTGTGGCAACTTAACGTCCCGGTCCTTGATGAAGCCAGCTCTGATGGCATGAGGGCAGCAGGAAGTCCACAGAGAACCCCTCAAAATCTAGTGTTCTTCTCCCAGGGCCCCAAATGATGGCTGAGACTGGCTGCCCAAGAAGGGCTAACGTAGGGCTATTCCTTGCTGGGGTACCACTGTAGTCTTGTGTCTGTCCTCCTGGGACTGGAACATTCCCAGCTGTCTCTCTCCCCTTCAGGCTGACGGACTTCAAGGATGCAGCTGCTACTGCTGGAGGCACCTGGCACCTCACCTGAGCCGGGCCATGAGGCCATGTGGCCGTGATGTGGGCTCCTCATGGCCTCAGCAAGAACAGAGCACTACGATATCGGCCTCCGCCGGGGACAGAGCTTTAAGCAGGGTGGACCCGCAGGCACAGCGCCTACCCTGTCACCTGAGAAACCCTCCGAGGGCAAAGTCTGGGCTCAGGCTCATCAGCAGGTGAAGCCAATCTGGCGGCTGGAGAAGAAACACGTGGGAACACTTTCAGCAGGGTTGGGCCCAGGCCTCTTGGGTGCACCCCCGCAGCCAGCGTACTTCTTTTGCCCCAGCACTCTATGTAGCTCCGGGACCACGGCTGTCATTGCAGGCCACAGCAACTGCTGTTACCTGCACTCCCTCCCAGACCTGTTCAGCAGCACCCTGCTGTACCGCCGCTCCAACTACAGGCATAAAGCATACCAGCAGCTGGAGTCTTTCTGCTTGCGTTCAGGCCCGTCAGAAAAAAGACCTTTCTCTCTCCCTCAAAAGAGGCTCCCTGTCACACTCACTGCCAACAAGGCCACATCTTCCAAGGTCATCCCCATGGCCTCCTCATCCACGGAACCATACTCCTCACTGGGAGCAGCCGGGGAAAGTCCTTCAGGGAGGAGCCTGGCCTCTGCCATCTCAGGGAAGACCCCGTCTCCACTCTCCTCCTCTTCCTCTTCCTACAAACCCATGCTGAACAACAACTCCTTCATGCGGCCAAATAGCACTAAAGTGCCTTTATCGCAGGCCACAGAGGGCCTGAAGCCAGTATCCTCACCCCAGGTCCAGCTCATCTCCTGGCATCACTCAGGGGGCACCGGAGACTGTGCGTTCCAGCCTGTTGAGCACAAGGCGCCCAAGAGCAGTGGCCCTGCCCTAGACGACGCGCCTCCCCGCAGCACGCTGTCTACCCCTAGTTCCTTGGACGCCTCCACCACCAGTGTCGCCTCTTCCCTCTACAGCCGGAGTAACTTAGTCCCCAGGGCTGAGTCGCATCCCTGCGGCCTGGACGGTGGCCCTGTTTCCCAGACTCTGACTAAGGAGATTCGGTTCACTGAGGCTGTGAGGAAGCTGACTGCAAGAGGCCTTGAGCAGAAACCAAGGCAAGGCTACCATTTTGAACAGACTTATTTCATGAACCCCAGCTTGCAGTGGGATCTCCTCAACCAGAACAGGCGGTGGAAACCTCCTGTGGCCGGCCAGCAGGTCCCTCAGGAGGACACTGGAGCGGACAACAGGGTCCTCCCTGCAGTCTCGGACCCCGGGGGCTTGGACAGTGCAGTCTTCTGTACCAAACGCATCAGCATTCACCTCCTTGCCTCACATAGCCACGGGCTCAGCTACAGCCCTGCCTGTGGATCTGCGATCGACTCCCCACGTCTTGGAGAAGACAAGACTCCAGTTCCACCTTCTCCACCTCAGCCCCTTGGTGTAGCTGAGGTGGCCACCCGCCTCTCTTCCATCCATCTGGGCAAACTTGGGAGAGAAGGGCCTAAGGAAGCCAGGGAGCTGAACTCACCTCCTAAGACTATAGGGTAAGTTGAAGAAAGTGTTTGGTTTATTTAAAGTAGTATACTGTATACACACCTGGTGACACTGACCCTGTGTCTCTTAAGGTTGGTTTTTATTTTTTAAGTGCCCTGGAATGTTGGTTTTCACTTTAGGGCAGAGGTTGGCAAGCTACACCTTTCAGGCCAAATCCTGCCCTCTGCCTGCTTTTGTAAATAAGGCTTTATTGAAATGCAGCCTTATTCATTTACTACTGTCTATGGCCGCTTTCTTGTTTTAATGATAGGGTTGCGTAGTTGGGATAGACTGAATAATCCACAAAACTGAAAATATTTACTGTCTGATCCCTTAGAGGAAGAGTTTGCTAAGCCCTGCTTTAGGTTATAACCAGGGAAAAATAAGAATTTCAAACATCATGTGTTGGGAACTGTGATTTCTCTACTTAATTCCAAACCAAATCAGGTTCTCAGTCATTCCTGGTATGACAGCTGTTTCAGAGTTAGGACACACACTTAATTGGTCTCTTGTGCCTTCTTATTTCTCTAGAACCATGGTCCACCAAGGCCTTTTCTGAGTTCCTAGAGAGAGGTCCGGGGACCTTTGATGTCTGTTACCACACGTTGACTGATGGTGTTTTATATTCAGAACTTTGTATTTATATGCTATGAGGGACTTCAAGGAAGGTGGAAGGTAGAGTACCTCTCTGTGGAGTCGGAGATGTGGGGTTGAGGAACTGTGGCCAGGCTGAGGCTCTGAAAGCAAGAGGAGTGGGTTGTAAGGCCCAGGCAAGGACCAGCAGACTGGTGACTAGGGAAGAGATGAACACTGGGAAATGATGAAGGAAGGCGAATCCAGCATGACCTCTCTTACAGAGCTGGCTGGGCTGGGGGCATGATTCTTTCTTACAGTTCAGCTACTGACCTCCAGCTACACCCGGTTGAAACTGAAGATCTGGAAGAAGAGCTACTAGATAGTTTGGAAGACTGCTGCAGCCAGGATGAGAATGAAGAGGAGGAGGGTGAGTAGAGGACTCTCTCGCCTCCAAATGGGAATTGGTCACCACCACTCGGGAAGAGGGGCTAACGATTATATACCAGATTCTCAACTCACTTTGTCACCTGCATTTATCATTCGCCTTGGGGGTCTGAGGGCGGGAGTGGCTTTGGGGGGGCTTGTTCTCTAGTCCCCTGTCCCCCGAGTCTTGCCTTCTCCCTGCAGCTGTTGAGCTCAGGGGAGGCGGTGCAAGGCAGCAATGGGTGCTTGTGGCTCTTCGAGAAGGCTGAGCCAGGATGTCTGAGGAAGGGCTGCCTGGGCTTGGTGACTGAGTGGCAGCCTCTCCCACCTGGGCCTTCTCTGTTCTTCTCCCAGGAGACTCAGAGTGCTCCTCGTGCAGTGCTGTCTCCCCCAGCGAGTCTGTGGCAGTGATCTCTCGGTGAGTCCTGACTGTGTAGGTTGTTGGCAGACGTTCATTTACCATCTCTTGAGGATTATAAAGGGATGAATCACCCAAGTTATTAATTAATGGCCCTCTTAACCCTAACTTACTTTGGCTGAATTTTTACAGTTTAGGACTTTAGTTTTCAAACAGGAATCAGTGGGAGGGAAAAGAAGCATATTTTATCAGCTGAGCTTAAAATCAGTACTGTGTTTCTTGTGCTGCAATTTAGTCTTTAGGCTCCAAGAAATTGTTCAAGTAAAAAGCAAATAATCTCAAGAAGTAGTTAGAAAATTAATAACTAATTTTATGAAGAGACAATGTTTGAGGTAGATTCTTAGTTATTTGCCACCTTGCAATTTAAATGTGTCCCAAAGTCAGAAACAATTCTGAGATAGATAATATCACTAATTGGAGCTTTTTTCCAGTGCTCTTTTGCTCCCTTTGGAAGTTGGTTTTATAAGACTAAAGTTGACCTTAGTAATAAATTGAATTTAAAATTCTCTAGCTATAATATGGAGTATTTTATTGACCGCCCTTCATGGAATGTGAGTGATACCCACCTCTACCTAGGAAACCAAGAAGTCCATCTCTTAATGTAGACCCTTCTTTTGTAGAACAGATAATTGTAGAATGGTGCATAACTGAGATGTGGAGTCAGGGGGAGGAAGGAACACAGGACTAAGAGGAAATTTCTGTAAATGAGGACATGTCTTTATGCTAAAGAGTTTTAGAACTTGCTTACAGATCATATAGACCACCTCTCTGGGTAGAAAGTTAACATTCTTCAGTATATTCTTCCTTGTTCCATTCATCACTTCCAACCTTGTCTCAATATGAAGCTCTTATCTTCATTAATTATTTTTAGATATTAAAAAGAACCCTCCCAAAGTACCAACCATTAAAGTTTTTTTCTTTTAAAAAATAACTTCTACTGAAATTGTAAAAGAACAAAGTTCCTATTCTAATTTTAATTCTAACCTGGCTATACATGTCAAGGCTTGCCTAGCACGTGGAGCAGCCAAACTCTGGTTGCTTTCCTTTGTGTCGGCTCTGCTTTAGACGAAGCTAAGAGGAAGAGTTAGTCTCATCTAAGATTAGTATGGACGAGGCAGACTGCATCTCTGAATGTGATGGTGGCTGCAGCTGTACCAGTTTTAGAGTTCCAAACCAGCAAGGTAGAGAGAGTTGTTTAGAAAATGGAGAGACAGAATAGGGACTTTCTGTGAAGGTTGGTAGAAATCCTGTCATAGGTATCCTGAATCTGGTGCATAAATTCTGTTACTTTAAGCCTAACCCATTGCTCTTTCAGATAAGCAAATCTACTCCTGGCCGTATATATTAGATGTTGACCAAGGACTTCACTCGCTGAAAGAGAAACACATTTAACATTTAATTGACTTGGAGCCTCTTTTCCACACTTAAGGGTGATCTAGGTTTGTCTTCAGGCCTAGTTCAAGACAGCTGCACAGTCCTTTGTTTAACTTTTCTGATTTTTAAGATAAAATTCACAAAAGGTGTTTGTTAATTCTGTGTTCATTAATTAATTTCTACAAAATGTAGTCTATATAAGTCTTAAAATATGAGGTCAAGCAAATGGAGGTTGAAGAATTCTAAACCACTTTGCATTTTGACTAAAATCAGGCATCTTTTTGGATTGCTAAAATCTTATTTTTTTCCAATTATGAAAGATTTGTTTATTTATTATAGAAAATTTTGCAGTCACAGAAAGATCATTGAAAACACTACCTGTTTCCTCTGTCCAGCAATAGTATATTACACTTCCTGTTAAGTATTCTTTCCCTAAGAATCATGTGAATTTAGAGATGGCATTGGTCAAGTTCGGCCTCTGTTTTTTCAGATATGAAAATTGAGGAACAGGAAATTAAGTAACTATTTGCAAGGTCAAGATTTTTAGCACTGCTAGACCAAAAGTCATGCCTTTTGAGGTTAAGTTCAGTACTCTTGAGAGGCAGCTAACAAAGATTTTCTTTTCTTTTCTTTTTTAATTAAACTTTTGATTTTGAGACATTTATAGATTTTCATGTAGTTTTAAGAGATAATACAGAGATTCCCTGAGTTCTTTACCCAGTTTCCCCCATGGTAACATCTTACACAACTATAATACAGTATACTGTAACCAAGACATTAATGTTAGTGAAGATCTGTCATTGCAAGAATGCCTTCTGTTGCCGGGAGGGCTGCAACTCCTTCCCTCCTACTCTCATCTCCTTCTTAAGCCTTCATAACCAATAGTTTTGTTGTTCCAGGAATGTTATACAAATGGAATGATAGCCATATGTAGCCTTTTGAGATTGGCTTTTTTCACTCAGCATATTCTCAACAGATTCATCCAAGTTGTTACACGTATCCATAGTTCATTTCTTTTATATTGCTGAGTAGTGGCCCATGAATGGCTGGACCACAGTTTGTTTAACCAGCCACCTGCTGAAGGATATTTTGTTTCCAGTTTTTGACTATACAGATAAAGCTGCTCATTGTGTACATATTTTTGAATGAACCTTAAGTCTTTATGTCTCTGAGATAAATGCTGGGTTCTATGGTAATTGCACATTTAATTTTTTAAGGAACTGCCAAAGCTATTTTCCAGAGTGGCTGTACCATTTTACATTCCTGTCTTGTTTTTGTTTTTAAATATGAACTCATTGTTTTTGATTTTCAACAACCTTAAATTCTAATATTCAGTAAATGGAAAGTCTTTAAAGTAAAAAATTTTGGAAATGAGGAATATAGTTGAATTAACTGGATTTATTTAATTAATTGGAATTAATATTTAACTCAACCCAATAAAATTCATTAAAAATTTCTCAGGTTTGAAACACTGAGGTGTTTTATGTACAGTGCCTATTTCTGTTGTGCTGAAAAATAACAGGTAGAGTATCTCTTTATAAACTGAAAATTAATCTTAAATAATAAATATTTGTGGATCACATCAGCCTGATCTAGAGGGTCATAACTATCCTCTCCATTTTCAGTGTTATCTGAAGAAATTGTCTGGGTCTGTCAGCTTGTATCCAGTATATAGTCTAGGTCTTCCTATTTTGAGACTGCTTGAGCTAGCCTTGACCAAGACGTTATTGGAATAACAGTAGGGACCCCATGGCCCACTGCTCCAGATCCCCAGACCTGTCTTTCTACCACACTGTTATGTAAAAATCTGATGTCACGAATGTCTGATGTCTCTGTTTTCAAAACAGAGAAGAGCATTGCTGCTGCTGCTAAGTCGCTTCAGTTGTGTCCGACTCTGTGCGACCCCATAGATGGAGAAGAGCATTAATCATCCATTTATCTTCAGATAAATATAAAATGACTTAGAAGTAGCACTCCTTTTTTTCCTTCTGTTGCTTTTTTCCCTTTTTCTTTTTAAAAACCTCTTTACCTCTTCTTAGTTCTTTCTGTCTTTTCTGCTTTTCCTCCTCTTTATTTATCCATATCATTCTTTTTCTCTCCTCATCTATTTCTCTTTGTCTTAGCGTAGCATATTTCTCTACTGACATCCACTTAAACTCCTTACTTGCTCTCAGAACCACTCTTTTCAGGGACCTCCCCAGCCTATGGCTTTTCACAGGAAATTTTAGTTGTATCAAAGAATGAAGTAAATTATTGAGCACTTGTCTCTGTAGAATCGCAGTGTAAAAGCACCCTGAAAGAAACAGTGTGTAATAGTAACAGCACTCAAGGTTGTGGCTTTGCCTTTCTCTACCACATGGCTGTTTTTCATCTTAGGAACTGCATGGAGTTTCTGACCAAACCCCCTTCCAATGAAAAAGTTGTTCGACCAGCCCTCATCTACAGTCTCTTTCCCAACGTGCCCCCTACCATCTATTTTGGCACTCCAGATGAGAGAGGTAAACCTGGCTGTGTGTCTACCTGGAATAGCCCCCAGGAGAAGGATGCTAGTGAAGCTGGCGGTAGGGTGGATGGGGCTTTCCAGAATGGCTGTATTGGTGCTTGGTTACCCACCTGGTCCACCAGTCCGATGAGGGAATCTTTATCTTGTCCATCCTTTAGCTGACCGTCTTGGCCCCATAATCTCATGTTTCACTCTTGACCTCTAACCTTGTGTCTCTCCCCTCTTTATCCTCCTCTCCTCTCTGTGTTCCTCATTCCTGTTCAGTCCCCTTTCTTCCCCAAAGTGTGCTCCTTTGAAACTCTGACCTGAAATAATACTTACTGACTTGTCTACAGGGAATGTTGAGCAACAGTGCCACCTCTTAGCTCTACTCACCATAACTCTCCTGCTCTTCTCCACACCCTCCCCCTACCCTCTCCCCGTTTTGCCCAGTGGAGAAACTTCCCTGGGAGCAGAGGAAGCTGCTCCGGTGGAAGATGAGCACAGTGACTCCCAACATTGTCAAGCAGACCATTGGACGTTCCCACTTCAAGATCAGCAAGAGTGAGTCACTTGCCTTACTTCAAGCCTGTCCTCTGCCCCAGCAGATAGGCTCTGGGCAGGAGGGAATCCCTAGATTAGCTCCCGCTGTGTGAGGACCCTGTCCTGAAGTTTCCAACTTCATAAGAGGACATAGGTCTGAAATCCCTCTGCCTGGAGCCTGTTCCTCAAAATTGGAAGACAGGGGGCCATTGTTCTAGTCCTGACCCCAGGGCCTCATGTAGGACAGCTCCATGGCAACTCTTAGAAAACTGGGGCTGGGACCTATGCCCAGGCTCTGGTGGTATTTCTGGGTCCTCTGAGCCACTCTCTGTCCCAGGGACTGAGCTGCTAGCAAGACTGACTTCCTGATGTACCTTCTATAGGAAATGATGACTGGCTGGGCTGCTGGGGTCACCACATGAAGTCTCCTAGTTTCCGATCCATTCAGGAGCATCAGAAGGTAAGGGCCTTTTCTGAGCTGCTCTTCCTCTGGACTTGGGCAGGAGAAGGTTGGTAGTAGAAGTAGGAAAGAGAAGGATGATCATAGAAAAGTCAGGAGGGCTCAGAGGGTGGAGAAAGTATGGGAGGTGGGTGCTGTGTAAGCCTCCAGTGGATCGTGCACACCTCGTAGGTCAGCTACAGTGTCTTGGACAGATAAAGCCTCTAAGACACTTTTTCTCTGGTGTATCTTGAGACGCAGTGTCTGTTTTCAGCTTATCATGTTTTTCCTCTAACCACTGCACATTGCCTCTGTTCCTCCAAGCTGAATATGTGTAAAGAGGTCTCATTTGGACTGAATAGTCCCCTTACCCCAGGAAAGCCAGGTGCTTTTCTGTCTTTGTCCTAGAGGCATGGAAAAAGACTTAACAGGTTTTTCTTTACTTTTACAGTGAATGTTACGTCTGTCTTAGTTATTCTTTTACATCGTGAACTATTGACTCCTAAAGGGCACTATGTTTTGTTGTGTTGTGTTTGTGTTTTAATCATTTTTTTGGTGGATGCTCAGTGCGGGATACTTAAGAACCTTTCGACAGTGACAATCAGATGGAACAGGAGCTTAGAATGTTGGAATGGTGTAGTGAGTCTTGCTGTCTTCCTTATGGTCTCACATGGCTCTGTCTCTCCCTGCTCTCACCCTCTGTCGCTCTGCAGCTAAACCACTTCCCAGGTTCATTCCAGATTGGGCGCAAGGACCGACTGTGGCGGAACCTGTCCCGCATGCAGAGCCGCTTTGGCAAGAAGGAGTTCAGTTTCTTCCCCCAGTCCTTCATCCTGCCCCAGGATGCCAAGCTCCTGCGCAAAGCCTGGGAGAGCAGCAGCCGCCAGAAGTGGATTGTTAAACCAGTGAGTGGTTCTGGCGGGCGGCAGGCAGGGCCTGAGAGTGGGAGCGCCAGAGTATCGGGCCAGGTAGACAACTCTCCTCTCCACTTGACCTCTAGCCAGCGTCCGCTCGAGGCATCGGCATCCAGGTCATTCATAAGTGGAGTCAGCTCCCCAAGAGGAGGCCCCTTCTGGTACAGAGGTGAGCCCGTCTCCAGCTGAGACCCCACTCCCTGCTTCCCATTTTCTCAGCCTCGGAGGGCCCCTTTTCACCACGTTCTTTTGTCCTTTGTCTTCCCAGCCAAAGACCTTCTTCAGCCAACTGCTTAAAGGTCTTTATCCTGGGAACTGTTAGCTGGCTTTTGCCGTGGCTCAGTTACTTGCCAAGCCCTGTCTCCTCTGTCCTGTCTCTGAAGCTGGCCTTTCTCTGTGTAGGTATCTCCACAAACCCTACCTCATCAGTGGCAGCAAGTTCGATCTGCGGATCTATGTTTACGTCACCTCCTATGATCCTCTACGGATTTACCTCTTTTCAGATGGACTTGTCCGCTTTGCCAGTTGCAAGTATGTGGTGATGGTGGGGCTCGCCCTAACAGCTTTGGGGATTTGTTCTCCCTCCAGGGAGGGAAGCTGGTGGACTCCGAACAGGAAAGTAACCAATGTTTTGGTAGTTTTTGTTAGCAAAGGAGAAGGTGGTGTGCCTTGGGAAAACCTTGTCTTCCTTTCCTCCCGTGTGACTGACTCCTTTACTTGTACATCAGACACTTCTGACACCACCTATAACCAGATGGTGGGTTTTTTTCTGCCCACACAAAGCATTTCTATACAACACCAACTGGCTGTCCTACAGTTGAACTCAATTCTGACATGTCTATCTGGGGATATCATCAGATCTCATGGGTCAAGGGCTGAGTCTCACCAGGCTGCCCCTCCCTCCACACCTGTGATGCCAGTCACAAGTGCGGGTGGCTGCCTGTGTGTCTCACCAGTGGGCTATAAATCAGAGGTTCCCATGACCCCCTCCTCGGGGCTGGGGGTATCAGTTTGGTTAGTTTTCTAGAGCAGCTCACAGAACTCAAGAAACACTTTGCTTATATTTATTGATTTATGAAAAAATGATGTGATAAAGGATACAAAAGAACAGGGAGATGGAAGAGATGCACAGGGCAAGGTGTGTGAGGAGAGGCACCAAGCTTCCATGCCCTGTCTGGGCGGACCACTCTCCCAGCATCTCCACAGATTCACCCACCTGGAAGCTCTCATATTTGGGGAATTTTTACAGAGGCTTCAGCACTTAGGCTTGATTGATCATTAGCTCCATTTTCAGCCCTTCTTCCTTTTTTAAGATAATGGGAGTTGGGTGGGGGGAGCTGAAAATTCCAAGCATCTAATCATGTCTTGGCCTTTCCAGTGACTGGCCCTCATCCAGGAGCCATCAGGAACTCACCCAGTGTTGCCTCGTTAGAACAAAAGATGCTCCTATTACCCAGGAAATTATAAGGGTTTCAGCAGCTCTGTGTAAGGAACTGGGGTCAAAATGCCAAATTTGAGAACAAAGATGCTCCTTATCCTTGTACCACTTAGGAATCTACAAAGGTTTCAGGAGCTCTGTGTCCGGGAGTGGGGGCAGGGTCCAATATATACATATTTATTATTATAAATCACAGTATTACATGCAGAATGGGAAATAAGGGGGTTCTCTACTTCACTAAACAGGGAGGGTCTTTCTACAGAACTGAGGTAGGATAAAATCGGAGATGAGTTTAGCTGTAGTGTTCTAGAAACCTTACCAGCAGATGTGCTTCTCAGACTCTTCTGCATCTGCAAAGATCTGTCCACTTAACTGCTCAGGATCTGGAGAAATGTTTGGACCATTATCCGTCTGCTGTATCTCCATCTCCCCTCTGCCTTTCCTCTCACCTGCAGGTATTCCTCTTCCATGAAGAGCCTTGGGAACAAATTCATGCACCTAACCAACTACAGTGTCAATAAAAAGAACGCCGAGTACCAGGCCAATGAAGATGAAACAGCCTGCCAGGGCCACAAATGGTACCCAGACAGTGTCCCCATCAAGAGGAGGCCTGGAGGAATACAGGGTTCTGGGGTCTAGGGAGGTTTCAGAGGAGTGTGAATGGAGGAGTAATACAAGACCCAGAGATTATATAAATACTTGGCAATTCAGAATTGGTCTGTTTGTATCCAAACTCCTCTCTGTCCTTATTCAAAACATCAAAAGAAGACATATGAAGAAGATAACCTTTGGGCCTCTTACTCCTTTTTCTTTCTCTTTGCTGATCATTCATAGATTCTAACCCTAAATACTCCCTTCTTCTCCCCTGCCTCACAGGGCACTGAAGGCTTTATGGAGCTACCTGAGCCAGAAGGGAGTCAACAGTGATGCCATCTGGGAGAAGATAAAGGATGTCGTTGTCAAAACCATCATTTCGTGAGTCACACTGCCACCCTGGGTGTGGGGCCTGCCACCAAATCCCCTTTTTCTCATGGGCCTCCACACTGCTGTTCTCTAGACTGTAGGCCATGCTGTGTTTCTGTTTCTGAGGACAGGGTTTAGGAAGGAATAGAGAAGACTTAAATTCTGCTCTACTGAACTGCATCCCCAGAAGCTGGCTCCAGGTCACAGGCATCTCTAGAGCTTCTTTTCTTGGGTGGCTTCCTTTTTCCCATCTCTGAGCCACTCCATGGGCCTAGGCAGCTCTAGGCAGGGTCTTTGGGAGAAGTCGAACTGAATACTTTATCCTCCCTGGGACCAGGTCAGAACCCTATGTGACTAGCCTGCTGAAGATGTACGTGCGGCGGCCTTACAGCTGCCACGAGCTCTTTGGTTTCGATGTCATGCTGGATGAGAAACTCAAGCCCTGGGTTCTAGAAGTGAACATCTCCCCCAGGTAGGTGTTCTCAGGGCACACAATAGGAGCCTTTCCCTGTCCTCCTGATCCTATTTTTGCTCAAGTCCTGCTGACTCTGGGAAGACCTTTCCTTCCCTAAATACCTTCATAGTTAGTTTACCATTTACTGTTTGTTCTTGCCATCATCTCAAGGTTTTCTGATATTGGAGACAGAATGTTAAAAGTTGCTCTTTTAAACTTGATACCTACTGCATGCTTTTCCTCTAGCAAACCAAAGTCACAGGCAGGAACCACCCTGAGCGAGGTTATTCACTATCTGTGGGGCTGAAAGACCCCCCACGATGGTCATGAGTTTGCATCTAAATGCGGCTGGTATTGACTTGGACATGTCAGTTTTAGTGTCTGGAAACAGTTGGACTGGAAACAGTTTTAGTGTCTGCTTGTACCACTCTTCGCATGCTTTCCCCAAAGCCTTCACTCCAACTCTCCACTGGACATCAGCATCAAAGGCCAGATGATCCGTGACCTTCTGAACCTGGCAGGCTTTGTTCTGCCCAATGCAGATGATATCGCTTCCAGCTCCAGCAGCTCCAGCAGCTCCACCACCAGGTCAGCCTCCTTGCTTGTCTGGCTCTGGGAAGGGATGGTGTCTGGGTGTTCCCTCCTGCTTGGTCTCCCTTGCTGCTCCATCTCCCACTGCAATATATCCACACTCCACTGCCATGTCAGTGTTCCTAAAGGCATGTTTGGTTAATTGCTCTCCTGCCAAGGAATCCCTACAGAGCCTAGGAACCAGCTTTAAATTCCTCAAGCTGACAGTCAAGGCCCTAGCCGGTTTTTCCCAGGCACCCCACTCTTTACTCCTCTTCCCAGCTCATGTGCTCTGACAAACTGGATCACTCTTAGAACATCAGTTGGAAGGATCCTTAAGGATTAGTTAGTCCAGTCTCCTCTCTGAATCGTGTGCTACCTCTCATTGTTCCCATATGGTGTCCTCTCCTCTGCTCGTGGGGTTCCTTCCTCCTAAAATTCCACTCAGCAAGACCTCCCTGTTTTGACCTCACCCATCCATCCAAACCTAGCTGAAGGCAACCTCTTAGTGCAACCAGCTCAATGTGTGCTGTCTCCTCCACACCCTCAAAGTACTCAGAACCACACTTGAGGAAAGGGAGCTAATATTTGGTATCTCCTCTGTATACAGAAAAGCCTAAAATTTATCTCCAAAGTAGCCCATGAGGTTGATATTAGTATCCTCAGTTTACAGATGAGGAAACTGAAAAATCACTGGGATTAAGTGACCCATCCAAAATCATTCATCTGCAGAGCTATAGAGCTGGGCTTCAAATCCTAATTTGTAGCAACAAGACTTGCTTTCCACATTGTACCTTATAGTTTAGACTTGGCTCTGTGCTGTAGTTGTTGTTTGATCCATGCCATCCTGTGAGCTCCTTGGAGGTCGTCTTTGTGTCTGTCAGTAGTAATTGTAGTAATGTGAAATGAGGGGCAGGGCGTCAGGGAGCTTGTCCAGGATCACACAGCCAGTAGGGCCAAGCTGGGTATTTAGTAAGTGTTCACTCAGTTAAACTACACTGAAGTATGCAGTGATTATTCCATGGTCTTTTTTTATTTTTCCATTTAAATACAACTTAAAGAGGATGATTTGTACCCTTTTAGTTCTTTCATGGTGCTTGATCTTTGACTCTTGAGCTATTTGAGTGTAGTGCATTGTAGTCTCATCTACTCCAGTAACAAACTTCTGTCCATCCTGAGGAGGGTGTCTTTCTAGGCTGAACCTTCTCTCTACATGTCCTCAGGATATGAAGCTTCTGACCTTACCCCTTGCCCCCTTCCCACCCCCTGCCTTAGCCTGCCCAGCTCTCCCAGGGACAGATGTCGAGTGGCCCCAGAGTACTTCACTGCACAGAAGATGAAGAAAGCCTATTACCTGACCCAGAAAATTCCTGATCAGGTAGGAGACTGCCTTTACCCCTGTGCCAGCAGAAAGTTTCCCTGGTCAAACCTGTGGGGCCCCAAGGCAAACAGCTCTTCATCCCTCTCAGGCAGGATTTCCTACATCCCAACATGCAGGGATTTGCTGGCGTGTATGTCACTAGAGAGGACTTCCCTGGGGGCTCAGATGGTAAAGCATCAGCCTACAATGAGGGAGACCGGGTTCGTTCCCTGGGTCAGGAAGATCCCCTAGAGAAGGAAATGGCCATTCGAGGAGAGAGCTGATGGCCTTTAGTGTGTGTTCAACAACCACTGTTAGCAAAATACTGCACCAGTCCACCCTTCTTGTAGAGCTGTTGCCCCTTTGGGTTTCTTTCCCAGAGGGGCACTGAGCCCCTGGAAGGCTTAGCTTCCTCAGAGCAGATAAGGGAGCCAGACGGAAGGATGGCGGACGCACAGCTGCGGCCAGATCTCAGTTGCTGTGTTCTGATCTTGACTTCATCCAACAAATCATTTAATGTCTGTGTCCCCTGGCTCTCCTCACCCCTGCCAAGAATCTCTTCATCCTCTGAATAAGCTCAGTAGATTTGGGAATAGATGAGGTCCAAAGCTAGCCATCCCAGCCTGCCCTAGTGGTCCGTGGAAAGTCCTGGAGCCTTAGGACCCTGAAGCCATGCTCTCCACCTCCAGTTTCTTCATTCTCTGCCACTGGCTTACGTGCTTTGCTGCCCCCTCTCCCCACTGGTCCTCGGGCTGTAGGACTTCTACGCATCTGTGCTGGATGTCCTGACACCAGATGATGTTCGGGTTCTAGTCGAGATGGAGGATGAGTTTTCTCGCCGTGGTCAATTCGAACGCATTTTTCCGTCTCGAATCTCTTCTCGCTATCTCCGCTTTTTTGAGCAGCCACGATATTTCAACATTCTCACCACCCAGTGGGAGCAGAAGTACCATGGCAACAAGCTCAAAGGTGATGTGTCTTCCCTGCCCATAGGAAGCCATGTTAAATGAGAGATTAAATCCCAGTAGACCAAGAAACGGGCCTCCGTGGCAAGAAGAATAGGCCAGTTGATTCCACCTTCTTTTTTTTTTTTAAGATGACTCTTTTATTAATTCATTATTTTGGCTACACTGGGTCTTCACTGATGTGGATGGAGTTTCTGTAGTTTTGCGACAAACAGGCTCTAGGGCCTAGGCTCCGTAGTTGTGATGCATGGGTTTAGTTGTCCCACAGTTTGTGGGATCTTCCCAAACTGGGGTTCAAACATGTGTCCCCTGCATCAGCAGGCAGATTCTTAGTCACTGAACCACCAAGGAAGTCCGATTCTGATTCCATCCTCTTGAGTCCCACCCTTGTTAATCTTATCATAGGAGTAGATCTGCTTCGGAGTTGGTGCTACAAAGGGTTCCACACAGGAGCCATCTCTGATTCTGCTCCAGTGGTGAGTGATGCTGCCAGGATACAGGGGATGGCCTTGCCTCAGCCCCTCCCTCTCCCTCCCTAAGAGTGCAGCCTGGGTTGGGTGCGGGTCCAGACCCTCTCACTTCTTCCTATGGTTCCTCAGGCCTCTGTGTCTCAGGACCCTTCCCTTTCAAGAGATACTTGCCTCTGGGATTCCCTGGATGCCTTTCTTTCAAGGATCAGAAGTGCTTTGTAGCCTCACCTTCTTGTCTGAGTCAGGAGGGGGCCAAGACTTACTCTCCCCAACATGGGCCCATTCTGTCAGGGTTGCCCTTTAGTCACTCCGAGGTAGAGCTGGGAAAGAGGCCTAAGACCCAGACACTCTCCCCTGATCTTGAGCTCGCCCTTTTGGCCTCATTGCTTCCTTTGCTTCCAGTGGACTCTCCCGGCCTCAGTTCTGACTGTCCCAAAGGCTGATGCGACACTCAATGCTTTCTCCAAGCCAGAGACTGTCAAGCTGAGGTGAGTGCTGCCTGGACAAGGGAAGGGTGTTGGGGGTGAATTCAGGGAGTTTCCTTCCTTCCTCTCTTCCCAGATTCTGATGAGATCAGTATTCTCCAGTTGAGGGTTGGTGGGACTGTCAGAATACTCTGTCACAGCCTCCTCTTCCAAGCGGCTCTTGGTATGCCCAGTAAAGCTGAGCTGGAGCACAGACTCATCCCCATAAGCAGCCACTTTCAGCCATACTGCAATGAATACTGTGAATGCCTGCTCTAGACTCCAAAGGGAGCAGTCTATGGGTTAAAGTCTCAGTTACACAGAGTCTCAGCCATTTCTTTCCTCCTGTTCCCTTCAGAAAACATGGCTCCACCGAGCAAAATATACCACTGTCTGAAGATGGGACCATACCCAAGCTGAAGAAGACCCAAGCTGGCCTTTCCCCTCCTCCCAGGAAACTCAGTTCCTCAGAGGACAGTGAGGACACCAACAAAGAGCCCAGCCTCTCCACCCAGTTGTTACCTGTGATCAAGTACTCTGGGCAGACTTCAAGAGTCTCTGCTTCTGCCAGCTCCCAGTCAGCTGGTGGCTCCCTCCTGGCTGCTGTGAGCCTGTGACAGGCTTCTCTCCACTTGCCTGCCCAGGTGCACCAGTGTCAGCTACCTCACGGGAACCGGCCGGCTGGCCAGCCTGAGCCCCCACCCCCTCCACTCTGCCCCTCCTCAGAGTATTTTTTGAAGTGGTTGAATTGTAGAGATGGGTATTTGGTGGGCTGGAGGGGTGGTTGGGAAGGGGAGAAGGTGAGACAGGTTCACTGGCTGGCACCTCATATCTCAGCAGAGAAGCCAATGATGGCTACTCAGCCTTATAAAGCAGGGTTTGGTTTCTACCTTCAGAGAGCCATGTGTGGTTTGTTTTGGTGCAGTGGTTTTGAGTTATCACTCAAGAGGAGAAAGCGTATTGAACATATTTGGGCCTGAAGTCCCTTGCTCTCTATATAATTGAAGAGGTTCCTCTGAGGGTCCTTATTTCCTCAGGTCTCACCCTCTCCCCTTCCCAACCCCCATCCTGAGGAGTCACTTTCAGAAACCTTCAGACTTCCTCAGTACTTGGGCAAACAGAGACCATGACATGCGGAACCAGTTTCCTATCGTCCTTGTCTTGGGGGCATCACCACCTCCAGACAATTTTTCCTTTCATGTACTCACCCGGCCAGTAACCCTTGGTCTTCCTGCTCTGACCTCACATCACTACTTGTTCAGCCTTCTAGACTTCCCTCTCATGGATGTTACCCCTCAGCTCTTAGCTTTCTGGGAGGCAAGCGCTCCTGTGAACTTTGTGAATTTCTCATGGCTGCACTCAAGGAGCCCAGATAATCCCAAGAGAAGGGTGGAAGGAGCTGAGGTTCCCCCTTCACTCTCTCTGGTGATCAGGGTCTGGCTCACAGGTCTCTGGGGCACGCACTCTGGTGGTCTGGCAGGCAGGTTTCAGAAACAGCCACCACTGTAGCCTGAGCTTCCAGTCAGGCTCCTGGCTAAACTCTTATACGCTGAATTGGATCTACCTCCTGCCCCAAGACTCAGCCAGCAGTGGGTGTTCAATAAATGTTGTTCGCGTGAACTGGAGATCTCACAGGATGCAAACACCTAAACCAGAAGCTCTCCTCCTGCTTGGGCTGAAGAGTCGCCCAGGGGGAAGCCAAGGTGGGAGAGTTTGGGCCAGAAAGTTTGTTTTCATTTGAACTATGCTCCTCCTTAACTTGACACCTCCTGGTTGCCTCTCGGCGCCCTCCACAGCCCTACTGAAGCCTTACTTCCGTTTATTTTTCTCCCAGCAGGGCCCAGCAAGAAGCCAGTTGGTCCCTTGATTCTGATACCTGGGTTTTCTGATACCTTTGATGTATCAGGCAGGAAGCTCTGCTCACGGTCTGACCGCAGACCGTGGACAAGGCTTTCTCTGCCTTTGTTCTCGAGCTTTGGAAAGATAGCCTGCTCCATCCCCTGCTCTGGGAGTTCTGTGGTGAGTTGGAAGGGAACCCTGGAAAAAGCCCTGAGAGGCCTGCCTGGGTTCAAGGCCATACCGCTGATATGTGAAGGCCATGTTGACAGTTGTGAAGAAAGCTGGATAGCAGAGTCCTGGGGCGTTGCTGCTCGATGGCAGGCACTTCAAAGTCAGGGCCACAGGAGGGCTGCTTGGCAGTCCTGTTAAATCTCTCTGATAGCCTGGAAGCCACCTCCCTCTTGTCCTCCATGGGTGCCGTGTCCTAGTGCAGATGTCAAAACAAACCTTGTGACGGGGACAGGAAGCAGCCTTCCTGTGACCACCCGCTCAAGCTGTTTCGCTGTGGCTGGTCCTCTGGTGCAGCGGCTTAGGTGTGGAGGCCTGACTGAGCTGTGCTGCTCCCTGGAAACCAACTTCAATACCATGCCTCCGAGAATCCCCAGAGAGCACAGCCACTTCCATTCCCGTAACTGGAAAAGGGACCGGCCTTGCAGTATGATGAGAAGCAAGGGAGTGAGTGGTGGGGAAGTTAAATGAGAGGTGGGGATGGACTGTTCTCAGTAGTTTAAAGGGCTTCTCTGGTGGCTCAGACGGTAAAGAATTCACCTGCAATGTGGGAGACCTGGGTTCGATCCCTGGGTTGGGAAGATCCCCTGGAGGAGGGCATGGCAACCCACTCCAGTATTCTTGCCTAGAGAATCCCCATGGACAGAGGAGCCTGGTGGGCTACAGTCCATGGGATTGCAAGGAGTTGGACACGACTGAGCACCTAAGCACAGCAACAGTTTAAAACATGTTTGTAATTTTTAAAGTTTTCATCACCTTTGAGTGTCTGGTAGATGTGAGTATGTTGCTGGATGGGAGAAAGGAATGAGGTTTATGTATCATACTTCCCTTTCAGCCTTGAGAGAAAATGAAATCTTGCTTATTAAGCATTCAGCATACATACTTAGCAGTGCATACCCACAGTATAAGGTGTTTGGCTAAATAAGCAATTTGGGGGAAGTAATGAGATTTGCGGGAAAGTTTAAATTTGAGAATGTTGCTGTTCAGTCTCTTAGTCGTGTCCCACTCTTTACGACCCCTTGAATTATAGCACACCAGGCTTCCTTGCCCTTCACTATCTCCCTGAGTTTGCTCAAACTCATGTCCACTGAGTCAGTGATGCCATCCAACTATCTTGTCCTCTTTCGCCCCCTTCTCTTGCCCTCAGTTTTTCCCAGCATCAGGGTCTTTTCCAGTTGGTCAGCTCTTTGCATCAGGTGGCCAAAGTATTGCAGCTTTAGCTTCAGCATCAGTTCTTCCAATGAATATTCAGGGTTAATTTCCTTTAGGACTGACTGGCTTGATCTCCTTCCTGTCCAAGGGACTCTCAAGAATCTTCTCCAGCACCACAGTTCAAAAGCATCAATTTTCTTGGCATTCAGCCTTCTTTATGGTCCAACTCTCACATCCATACATGCTAGTATGTTCATCCTTACTACTGGACAAACCATGGTTTTGACTGTATGAACCTTTGTCAGCAAAGTGATGTCTCTGCTGTCTGGGTTGGTCATAACTTTTCTTCCAAGGAGCAAGCGTCTTTTAATTTCGTGGCTGCAGTCACCATCTGCAGTGATTTTGGAGCCCAAGAAAATAAAGTCTGTCACTGTTTCCATTGTTTCCCCATCTACTTGCCATGAATTGATGGAACCAGATCCCATGATCTTTGTTTTTTGAATGTTGAATGTCAGTTTTTTCCTAACTTGATAATGTACCTAGTCCTTGTTTGGAGAAAGGGGAACAAGTGCTCTTGAGGTAAGAAATGCCATGTACAGGGTATTTCTATAGCACTGGAGCAAGAATTTGAGGGCAGGGGTAGCAGCAAGGAGGGTGGTCACTATTTGTTTACTTCTGATTTACTCAAGCTTGATCAGACACTAAGGAACTTAGAATGAATACTTAATAGAAAGGTGGCATGGGGCTAAGAAAAGAGCGTGGATCTTGGGAGTCTGACATCGGGTTCAAATCTCATTTCCTCTGTGCAGCCTTGGGCATGTCATCTAGCTTTTTAAAGTTTTACAATAATACAAATTTAGTACCTGCATTGCAAAATTATGGAAATTGAGCAAAGTTATGGAAATTATGGGTAGGGAAAGGCAGGCTAGAGATGTAAAACCCTTTCCATGAGGGAATGAAGGCACTCTAGAGACATTATAGAAGTGAAGGGGCCAGGACAGGGTTTAGATACCTTATCACACCTATGTCCACCCTGGTGCACAAAGAAACCCTATCACCATTATTCATTCTACTGTTTCACTCTTTGTTGGGGATTTATTTCTTTGGTTAAATATTTCACAGACAGAATGCAAATTAAAAGTATGTGAATTGGGCTTATTCAGTTCTATTCAGAGAGACGCTTTGATTTAAAAAGGGAATGCAACCTAGAAGTCCATCGGCAGATGAATGGATAAGAAAGCTGTGGTACATATACACAACGGAATATTGCTCAGCTGTTAAAAATGCTTTTGAATCAGTTCTAATGAGGTGGATGAAACTGGAGCCTATTATACAGAGTGAAGTAAGTCATAAAAATACCAATACAGTATATTAACACATAAAATATGGAATTTATAAAGATGGTAACAATGACCCTATATGTGAAACAGCAAAAGAGACACAGATGTAAAGAACAGACTTTTGGACTCTGTGGGAGAAGGTGAGGGTGTGATGATGTTGAGAGAATAGCATTGAAACATGTATATTATCATATTTGAACTAGATCACCAGTCCAAGTTCGATGCATGAGACAGGGCACTCAGGGCTGGCACACTGGGATGACCCTGAGGGATGGGATGGGGAGGGGGGTAGAAGGGGGGTTCAGGAAGGGGGATGCACATACACCCATGGCTGATTTATGTCAATGTATGGCAAAAACCACTACAATATTGTAATTAGCCTCCAATTAAATTAATTTTTAAAAAGACTTTTCCCCCTCAAAAATATAATAAAAAGGGAATGCAAGGGAGAAGTGAATGCCTAGAGACTGGAGAAGGGAGGAGCAGGGCACAGAAAATAGAGACCTTGAACTGGAGCCAAAGAACATGCACCAACGTAACAGCTGTGCCAAGGGACGCTTGTGGTTATAGGTCCATTCTTGTGATTTCAGGGTATTAATAGTTGAGGGTGATTGTGTCTCCTGTCACCCTCTTGAGAGGACACATCTGATTGTGCTCAGGGACCATCCAGTACCAAGTCAGTGAAGGAGGCTGATAATCCAGGGACACAGCTGAATCAGTTACCCAAATAACAGTCACTGAAGGCAGCTGGGGGGCCTCCCCTCCTGGCTTCATCTGGGTTTGTCCTAAGACTACATACGGCTCAGCTCTCTTTACAGCTCAGATCCTCAACTGCTTTGGAACACTGATGGTTTTCAGAGGTGTGTAGAGGGAGCTCCATTTCATGCCACTTGACATTCTAATCCAGCCTCTCAAACAACACTGGGCCTTTGATCCCCGTGTAGCAGTTTGCACCCTTGTTAATGTCAGGCTCATTTGACTTGACTCTTCATCAGCTTTGGAGCCTTGAGAACTGCGAGCAACCTTAGGCTGTCCTTGGCAGATTTCTCCTGGGTTAAGAATTCAAGAAGCATCAATAGCAGGGCGGGTGTTTTCTAAAGCTCATTTGTGCCTTAATGATTATAATGGACTGAGATGCATGAAATGCTGCAGACGGTCATGGGGAAATCTAACACAATTTTGTAAAGATAATGATCTAAATTGTAACTAATACAGTGGGGAGACCAAAGCCTAGCTCCATGGGTAGTTAAGAGGGTTGGGAAGGGAGGGATATACATAAAGCACCTAGCAAAGTACGTGATACATATATAGTGCAGATTTAAAATAGATTCTAAAACAAAAAAAGTAACACTACCAAAGCCACTTTCATAGAGGAGCAGGAACTATGTAACAGCATGTTACTATTACAGTGGTTCTATGATACCAGTATAGTAGCGTTATAAAACTGTGATAAACATGGAACAGCAAACAGGTGATTTAATCGAGATAATTCATTTAGAAGGATTGAAGTCCTTAACATTAGTTAAGTCAGAGAAGTGCAATTAAACCTATACTGATGCAGGCTGAGGAGCCAATAGGGAAAAGCTACCACCCGTGGGATTACAACTGTGCCTGTAAATAAGAATCGCACCAAGGCAGAATCACTGGGCAGGCCTGGCTGAACCTCCCTTGGCTGGTCCCTCAGTCCCTGCTGCAGGCAGGTGGCCAAGTTCTCCTCTCCCTTCCCTGTGAGGCCCACAACACACGCAGGACTGTGGCCTGAGCCAAGAGCCTGTAGTTCAGAGAAAGGTCCTCCTCCTTGCATGTCACTCAAGGCACGTTCCTGGGGAACCTGGTGCTGATACATGTAGACAGCCTGCTTCTGGGTCAGGGTTTCTGTGTAGCCGAACAGCTCACTGTGATGTATTGAAAGTCAGCCCTCAACTTAAGGGTTTGGTGGGTGGGTGGGGG